CAAGTACAGTAACACATACCTCGCACTATTTCAGGCTTGGCAACCACATTTCGTTTGGCTGCTCACGCAGGAGTTTTCCTTTCGCTTCACGCGTAACGTTTGCTGGGTGAAACTTCTGCCTACACTCACTTCTTTGTTTCCACGGTCTTCTCGAGGTAGGACTTACAGGACTCTATACATCCTTTCTAGAACGCAGGTTCTGCTTCTGTGCGCTCTTCTGTCGAGTCAGGTGTACCTGGCTTCACTCCAGTCTCACGGTGATACTGTTCCGTGATCGCTGCTGGGATCACTCGTTGTCCCATCTCTTGTGTGTGTGTGTGTGTGTGCTGTTTATGTGTACTGTTTATGTGTACGTTTGTGCCTCTGTGTGTGTGTGTGCGCGTGTGTGCGTTTGTGTATGTATGTATGTATGTATGTATGTATGTATTTATGTAGACAAGTACGTCAGCCCCCAAACCCTCAAAGCAGGAGGCCAAGAAGACGACACCCAAGCGGCCTGCCGTTCAAAAAGCGCGAGGCGCCCGTTGGATGCTGCCGGAAGGCCCTTAAGATTCAGATCTTCTGAGCTCTAAGGAGGGTTTGAAAGTGGTTTCGGGCTTCCACTATACAGGGTAGTTTCAGGGTTCATCCAAAAGTTGGGCTTGGGTTTGTGGGGGCTCCGGTGTGATTGGAGGTTTCTTGCACGAAGAAGCGGACGGTTTCCGGAATAGTGGCTTCCGCGGTTCAGAGTTCAGGTGTCGACCATAGCCCAAGACATCTGTGGCATCCGACGTTTCGGCCCACCGCTTTCGTGGACAGCGCAAGTGCTCGATCCTCGGAATAGTCGAGGAATCTCGCACTCTCGCACCTTTCCCGACATTCCATGGCGTCCTTGGTGCCACAGAAGCCTTCGACACCACCTCCGTCTTGCAAGGCGCCACGTCGGCGCATGGTGATCGGCGCGATCGCCCCTGCCTCGCCACAGCAGTGCAGAACCAGATCCAAGTCCAGTCCAGCCGTTCTGGTGGAATTTCCAGAGCGTGCGACGAGCCCATGCAGCAGCATCCTGTCACATGCCATGTCGGACTTGCAAGCACGCAGGGTACAGTTCGAGGAAGCCCCCGAGATCATCTTGTTTCTGAGTGCTGACGAGGGCAGTGACACGGTGCTGTCTGTGGTTGTAGAGGATGAGCCAGAAGCGAGCCAGCCAAGCTCCCCGAGAACAGCGCTGCCACAGACGGACGAGACGGCGTTGGCAGTGCCAGCGGTACCACCGGCTCCCCATGACTTGTGCGAAGGAGGTCTGGCGGAACTTGCTGCAGATGCTTGGTCAGAATATGGGGTGAGGAAGGCTAGCGGCTAGCTTCTCTAGGTGAGATGAACACTGTGGCCGACTGCCTAAGGAGAGGCGGGCCGCCATGCTCCGAAAGCTCTTCCCAGACACCATGGTGCCGTCAAGCGTGCGTGAGTGACACGCTCGTCGGTTGCCCACCGGACAGTGAACATATCGCAGCTTCGGCGTTGGGCTATGTTCCAGTAACCGTAGATGCTTTAGATTGTCATTGTCGCAGAAAGTGCAGCAGCTCTTTCAGCCAAGATGCTGGCAAGACCTGTAAGATCTGTTGCTTGTAGCTTTATTTGCCTTCAGTTGATGTGTGCACATGGGCGTGCCTCGACAGCCTGTGTGCTCAAGCTCTGACACCTCCGGCTCAGCCCACCAGCCCAAGGGAGGCAGCGGGTGCGGTGTCATGGCAGACGACGGGTGTAGTTTTGAACTACGACTCGTTGTCTGTTTTTGCACAGTACCGTTCTTGCCAGGGCCATGCGTTTACTTCAGTTCCAGAGTGTGACTACTACTGGCCCAGGCATGTTTTCATTTTTCTGTTGCCATCCCAAATTTGAAAACGGTGACCTTGAGACTGACGAAGATGCAATAGCATCCTGTGAAGTCTCGTCTTCCTAAGTCTGTTCTCGCCAGGGCCTGTGTTTGCTTCAGTTACAGGGTGACCGCTGGTCCTGGCGTCTGTTTCGTTTTTCGGTCGCCATCCCAAAGTTCGAAAACGGCGACCTTGAGACTCACGAAGGGTGCAGATAGGGCCCTTTGAAGTCTCGTGTTCTACGACTGTTCTCGCCAGGGCCATGTGTTGTACTTCAGTTGCGGAGTGGCTGTTGGCCCTGGCATCTATTTCATTTTTCGGTGACTCGTCGCCATCCCAAGTTGGAAAGCCAGGAACTCGAGACTCAGATAGAGTCTCCTGTTCTGCAGTGGGCAGCGATTTACTGGAGAGTATCATCACACTCGCAAGGCTGCCTTACTGTTTGTTTCACCAGGCCGTGCTCTGGCACTCGTGCATGCAGCCCCGGGTGTTAGCGAAGGTGCTATCCATGAGCTTGCTCGTGATGCCAATAGCACACTATCAATCTGAGGTCTGGTTTCGAGGCCCTGAGGTGATTTTGGGACCGCACAGACAGTAGCACGACAATAGCTTGCCTGTTTCTGGGCTGCATGCCATGTTCTCGCACTTGGCATTCAACTCCCCTAATGCTGCGACAGCCAACTGCTCTGCTGGAGATGTCCGAAAAGATTTAGCGCGAGCGAGGTGCAGTTGCTGGAGCAGGACTCACGACATAAGATGTTAAGAGTTCACATTCGGCATCTGCACATCTTGCGGAAGCCACTAACTGCCACGACAAGAGAAATCGAACTGCCTGGTGTATCCGCGCAGTAGCGCTTCCCGTTTCATGTCACTCAACCCTGGGCCCGGTACCAGGCAAAGCCCGAAAGGGGCGGGCGCTGTTCCTGAGCTCCATGCTAGTGCCACCATCAAGAACACCGCTTCGAACATGGCCCGAGGCTCACCCCTAAGGCTTAGTCTAAAACCCTGGGCCCTAGGGCCCCTTGAAGCCCCCCGAAGCGCTCCCGGTCTTTTCAGGAAAGCGGCCGACGTCCAAAGTCCACCGCATCCACCCACCTGAGGCGAGCTCCGAGTGTTTCGAGCGCTGCGAGTTGTTTTTGTCTTCAGACACTCGGAAAGCATGTGCCAAAAGGAAATTTGATTTGGACAGCTGTGGCTTGCCACATGCGTTGTAGCGCCAGGATCCTGGGGTTCTCGGAGGGTTCACAGGAAACCAACCGAGCACCCAAAGCAGGAACGCATCACCCAAAGAAGAATCGCAGAGCTGTCGCGGGAAGGACTCTTGCCTCTGAGGCGCTGAAGGTCCGTGCAGACTCGTGTAGACTAATGAGCCCATCCTCCCGTAATGAAGCTGATGACAGCTGGGTTCCTTCATGAGGATTGCACTTTTCTTACTGGGGCTTCATAACAATTTGTGATTTACAAACACTGCGACACAGGTCGAGGCGTGGAATTTCCTGGAGCTCAACCAGGAGACCCAGAGGCCACGGAGTCGCTGATAAAAGGGGCCTCCACCCTCTCATCTACTTCGGCCCCCTATATCCACAGGCAGCCTCGCCCACTGCGCCAAGTTGTGACAGCCGAAACCCCGACACCCCGAGACCTTAAGAACCAGAAAGGGTTTGCACGGTCATCTTTGGGTTCCGACTTTCGAGTCTGCGCACGTCCAACACTTGCACCAACCCAGTAAGCCTTACGCCCGAACCCCTGAGCCCCCCCCACAACAAGCTACAAAGCTCAACCCTGACTCCCTCAGGCCCTAACCCTCTCTCTAACCCGAAGCCCCAACGATGCCTGGAGCTCCTGGCTTGTCAGGTCCCATTGGTCTGGCCAGTGGTCCAAGCAGGCGCGGCCACAGCACGGAGAGGCCCAGGCCGGGGCTTCGAGCAGTGCCTTTTGGGTTTTGGCCAAGGACACTATACGTTTGTATCGCCAACGTCCAGCCGCAAATTTGCCTATCTTTGTATTGTAAACTTTGCAAAATTTGAAGACACTATAAGACTATAAGTTTGTAACGCCAACGTCCGCCCACTAATTTGTATATCTTTGTATTGTAAACTTTGTAACCAAACTTTAAGGACACTATAAGTTTGTAGCGCCAACGTCCACCGACAAGCTTGCCTTTTGTAAACTTTGAGGTTACTATAAGTTTGTAATGCCAACGTCCATCCACAATCTTGTGTTTGTAAACTTTAAGGACGCTATATGTGTGTAACGCCAACGGCCACCCACAAGTTTGTGTTTCTTCGTATTGTAAACTTTGTAAACTTTAGGGACACTACAAGTTTGTAACGCCAACGTCCACCCACAAACTTGTGTTTCTTTGTATTGTAAACTTGGTAAACTTTAAGGACACTATAAGTTTGTAACGCCAAGGTCCACCCGCAAGCTTGTGTTTAATTGTAATGTATACTTTGTACAACTTAAGGACACTATAAGTTTGTAACGCCAGTGTTTCTTTGTATTGTAAACTTGGTAAACTCTGAGGACACTATAAGTTTGTAACGGCAACGTCCACCCCCAAACTTGTGTTTCTTTGTATTGTATACTTTGTAAACTTTAAGGACACTATAAGTTTGCAACACCAACGTCCACCCGCAAACTTGTGTTTCTTTGTATTGCAAACTTTGTAAGCTTTTAACGACACTATAAGTTTGTATCGCCAACGTCCACCCACAAGCTTTCCTTTCTTGGTATTGTAAACTTTGTGAACTTGAAGGACACTATAAGTTTGTAGCGCCAGTGTCCACCCACAAACTTGTGTTTTTTACTGCAAACTTGGTAAACTTTAAGGACGCTATATGTATGTACCGCCACTGTCCACCCATAAGTTTATGAATCTTTGTATTGTAAACTTTGGTAAACTTGAAAGACAGTCAAAGTGTGTAGTGCCAACGTCCACCCGCAAGCTTGTGTTTCTTTGTGTTGCAAACTTTGTAAACTTTAAGGACACTATAAGTTTGCAACGCCAACGTCCACCCACAAACTTGTGTTTCTTTGCATTGTAAACTTGATAAACTTTAAGGACACTATATGCTTGTAAGGCCACCAACGTCCAATACAAACATGTGTTTCATTGTATTATAACCTTGTTTTATAAACTTTGTAAACTTTAAGGACACGATAAGTTTGTAATGCCAACGTCCGCTTGTGAATTGGTGCCTTTTTGTACTATAAACTTTGTAACCTTTACGGACACTATAAGTTCGTCACGCCAACGTCCCCACACAAATTTGTGTGTCTTTGCATTGTAAACTTTGTACACTTTAAGCACACTATAAGTTTGTAACGCCAACGTCCACCCACAAACTTGTGTTTCTTTTTGTTATAAACTTTGTAAACTTGAAGGACACTACAGGTTTGTAGTGCAAACGTACACCCACAAACTTGTGTATCTTGGTAAAACTTTAAGGACACTATAAGTTTGTAGCGCCAGCGTCCACCCACAAACTTGTTGCTTTGTATTGTAAACTTTGTAAACTTATTATAAGGCACTACAAGTTTGTAACGCCAACGTCCACCAACAAAATTGCCTATCTTTGTATTGTAAGCTTTGTAAACTTTAAGGGTACTATGTGTTTGTAACGTCAACGTCCACCCGCAAGCTTGTGTTTCTTTGCATTGTAAACTTTGTAAACTTTAAATTTACTATATGTTTGTAACGTCAACGTCCACCCGCAAGCTTGTTTTTCTTTGCATTGTAAACATTGTAGAGTTTAAGGTTGCTTTATGTTTGTAACGTCAACGTCCACCCGCAAGCTTGTGTTTCTTTGTATTGTAAACTTTGTAAACTTTAAGGACACTACAAGTTTGTAACGCCAACGTCCACCCACAAGCTTGTGTTGCTTTGTATTGTAAACTTTGTAAACTTTAAGGACACTATAAGTTTGTAACACCAATGTCCACGCACAAACTTGTGTTTCTTTGTATTGTAAACTTCGTAAACTTTAAGGACACTATAACTTTGAAACGCCAATATCCACCCACAAACTTGCCTTTGTTGGTATTGTAAACTTTGTAAACTTTAAGGACACTATAAGTTTGTAACGCCAACGTCCAGCCACAAACTTGCCTTTCTTGGTATTGTAAACTTTGTAAACTTTGTAAATGTTGAGGACACTAAAGATTTGTAACGCCAACGTCCACCCACACATTTGTGTATTTTTGGATTGTAAACTTTGTAAACTTTAAAGTCTGTCAGGACACTATAATTTGGTAACGCCAACATCCAGCCACAAACTTGTGTATCCTTGTATTGTAAACTTTGTCAACTTCAAGGACATGAAAAAATTGTAAGGAAAAGGTCCAGCCACAGATTTGTGTATCGTTGTATTGTAAACTTTGTAATTTAAATTTTCATGACACAATAAGTTTGTAGCGCCAACGTCCAACCACAAATTTGTGTATCTTTGTATTGTAAACTTTGTAATCAAGCTTTAAGGACACTATAAGTTAGTATCGCCAGCGTCCACCCGCAAATTTGTGTATGTTTGTATTGTAAACTGTAAACTTTGTAGTTAAACTTTATGGACACTATAAGATTGTAACGCCAGCGT